TCTGCACCAATAGTCGAACCATCACCAACACGTCTCGCCTTCGAACAGGTGGATCTCTCTCACTTGAAACCACCCCTCGCTGGCACACCCAGACGGACACTCCACCCACTCCGACCAAATCCTTCCCTGGGACCACATCGCTTCTACACTTCTCTCGAACCTCGAACGAACCCTACACAGCGCCTCTTCTGTACCCCTGCATCAGTGCATCAACAGCGGATGTATCGCCTGCAATTCCCCACTGGAACTCTCTCTCCCTTCGGATCCCGGCAAAAGACTCCGCTGGACCCGCTCAGCAAGCTCCCGTGGCCTTATCACCCCATCCCCCGGTTCCTCGTTCTCGACCCCCTGTGCCTCCACCTCCCCGGCTGTTGCAAGCCCTTCCGCGGCCCCTGTCCAATCCAGCCTCTCCTCGACCGCAAACCGTCCATCACACCTCGAACTACGTGTTTCCAGGGCTTGAATCCTTCAGCAGTCTCGGTCCAACCTGTCGCGTTGCCAAGACCATCCTCGATGGTCTTTGTTTCTGCTGCGGCCGTTCTTCTGCCGCCACCCAATTTGGTATTGTAGTACCATCGCTGCATGCTATGCGCAGGGTGCAATATCCCAACGTCGTCCCGTTCTCCCCACGCCGCTTCATCCCCTAAGGATCTCTTCCAGGAAAAGAAACAAACGAACATCTCTCGCCTGAGACGTAGGGCCTCTGATCACTAGCCCTGCCTCGACGCACAAGGCCTTCCGTACGTGACGATGAGCGTGAAGATCCTTGCTGCGCCATCAAGTTGTCTCCTGGCCCTGGCCTTCTTCAGCTGCACAGTCCACATGTCGATATTATGCCGGATTTCTGCCTAGGGAACAAAAGAGCTTGGCTGCCAGGTACCAAACCTCTGGCGACCCGTCGCGCTGCAGGTTCACATGCTAACCGAGCTGTGACATGCCGTGCATCACATGAGGTGGGGGTGGAGTATGTGATCGAACTTCTCCCGACAACTTCCTCCGCCACCAACGTTGAGCGAACACTCGGGATGTGAGACACCTGTGGCAACGTGCCACCTTGTTCGATTCAGGCTGACGTGGTGATGAGATGCCTTTCCTTTCATGTCGAGATGGACTTGAACCAACGATACGTCTCCATTCCGTCGTGCTTTGCCTCGTCCATGAGATGAGCAACTTGCCCAGGTCGAGGCAAGAATAAGTCTGCAACCTGGGAGCACACCTTTTCCCTTGGCAGTGATGATCCTTCACTTTCCGGCCGCCGGTCTAGTCTCACATGCCAACGTGCCGTGCCGGCTAGCATTCCATATAGCGCGGCACAGCACCTGTCTCCATAACCACTTGGAACGCAGCCCTCGGAGCGTTTGCACGTTCATCCATCTCCTTCATCATCCGAGTATGACTTGGCACGAACAGTGGCAGGGTTGTGGCTGTAATGTTCGATATCCAACCACGGCCCTCACTGAAAAGCCGCCTCATGTATAGCGATCCTTCGTGGCGCGTGAAGCACACCATCGACCTATCCCATCAGCCTTTAAGTGCAACGATAGCAGGGATAGGCAGATTCCAAAAAGGATGGAGATTTTCTGGCTTGACCTTTCTTCGTTGTCCTGCATCAATCCTTACAGCACACATCAGACCGAGACATGGGGTGCGTGCTGCGTGTGACCGACACCCGCCCTGGCATTGAGCTTCCTTTCTACCACAGTTCCTGGGCAAGACGTTTCTCCTTGCATGTATCCCTCAAACTTGCAGTGCTTGGCGCGGTAGATACTTCCAGGCACCCGGGAACTTTCTTTCTTCCTTGACGAGTGACAATCGTCTTGGTCCGCTGAAGATATCCTCGATATCGTTCGCGCATGAGAACCAACAAGCATGTGCGGAAGTTCCATATAACTAGGCGCTACCCAGCACTTGCTTTCTTTGCCCCAAACACTTGACGTGTTGCCTCGAGTGATTCTATCTGACCGATACAGGTCTCAAAAAGAGGTTCAGGATATGTTTTAGCAGCCTAGCGCTCGCTGACCGTCCTTTGTCTCATGCTTTCAAGCCCTACAGTGCCGTGGGGTTGGTCAGGCTCTGACTTTGGCCTTGAAAATTGAAGGCATCGGACTCGAAGCAAAACAACGCATCATGTCGACTCTGCGAATCATCTACGCCCTCGCGCGGAGACAAGATGACCCAGCAGCTGGCGATATAGCCGTTCCCACAATACCTGTTCTCACCAATGACCCTGCTCCGACTGTGGTCGCTTCCATATGGGTCATGATGGCCTTTGCAACCATCTTTCTGCTCCTCCGCATCTACTGCAAAGCCGTCCGCACACGGGGCATGTGGTGGGATGACTACATCATGCTCTTCGCCTGGGTGAGTCTTCTGTGGCTGCGGGGCATGGTCTCTTCCCTTGTAGCTGATGACAGGCAGTTCTTTCTCATGGCCGCCACGGCCGTCCTCACCGAGCTCATGCGAATGGGCTTCGGCCTGACCCTCGGCTTCGTCCCACGCATGCACACCCTTTCCACGACCGCCGACGTCCTCAACAAGGTCGCTCTCGGCCTCAGCAAGACCTCTTTTGCCCTGACCTTGCTGCGTGTGGCACAGGGGTGGCAGAAGTGGTTCATCTGGTTCATGGTCGTGACGATGAACGGTGTGCTTGCGACCAACGCCGTGACGACGTGGAGGGCAGCCTGTGATCGCGAGGGGCAAGATAAGTATGAAGCTGTGCTGCCAGGATCATGCTGGAGTGTTGTCGACGCTGTCATCATCGCCATGGTGGCGAACAGTACGTTTGCACTGACCCAACCTAGAAGCGGTGGTTGGATGCTGACGAACGGGGAACAGGCTACTCTGCTCTGGTTGACTTTGCTCTTGCTCTTCTTCCGTGGAAAATTGTGTGGAAATTGCAGATGAAGAAGTACGAAAAAATCGGTGTCGCCATTGCCATGAGTCTCGGCCTTGTAGCAGGCATTGTCGGCGTCATCAAAGTAGTGTCAGCTATGAGCATCACTGCCGGCCCGGACATTCCCTGTACGTCTGCTTCCCTCCAATTTTCCTTTATCATCCTCGAAGTCTCCTGTTGTCAGAACCAGTTTCCTGCCTTTTACAATTTCAATCGGGCTATACTATAATCTACCTCCTCTATCGGGTGCACGACTGACGAGGAAAGATCGCCTTTCGATGCTTTTCATCTGGGGCCAAGCCGAACCAAACGTCACCATTGTCGCGACAACAATTCCCGTTCTTCGCGTCCTCTTCCGCGACATACATCGCTCAAAATACCCCGCGGCGGCTGGCGTCTCTGGACAAGGCGGCGGGGGCAGCGGTGGCGGCTACCTGCGGTCGAACGGCGCGTCACGGTTCCCCGCCTCCGCGTTGCGGGGCGCCACACTTGTGGGCGAAGGGTCCAAGGGGCGCGAGGATGACGAGGACAGCGAGGGCAGCATACTCAGGTCCAAGGGCGGGATTGTGCGGACGGCGGAGGTGACGGTGGATTCCAGTTCAAGGGCCCGTGAGCAGAGATGGGATGTGGAGGAAGTTTTTGAGATGGTGGGACCGTCCGCGGGCCGTGGCCAGTGTTGGAGGTAGGCCCTCGATGGGCTTGGCATTGTGAAGCGGCGGAAAGGAATGGAATGCGTGCACTAGATGAAAGCTGGTCTTTTCTTTGCTGTAGGCAGCCCGCCAGAGTCTCAGCCCGTGTCGGCAATGTGTACTGCGGCGCAGATGTCGGAACTGAAGGCATCCTTGGAAGGAAAGCCCGGAGCACCATCCACGAAGCCACCACCCACGAAGCCCATGATCTTCGTTGCCGTGCGCCCATGTTTGCAGTGCCTTCCCATTGGGATAGTTGCTGCTCACTCTCCTTGCTTCAGAGCAAGGCAAAACAGACAAGCAAAGAGAATACCGCTAGCATGCCCAGGCCAGTCAACGCAGAGTGGTTACGAAAAAGGGGCGGGTAATGATAAGGCGCCAAAAACTAGCTCGTCATGATATCCTGTCCTACCAGCCGAGGACGGCGTTTCCAGTACCTTCAAACATTCCAATGCTTTGCTCCAACGCCATGCCGTCATCACGATCGTGTCTCAAGGCCAGCTCTCGCACCGTCGAGTCTACGGCTGACCAGGTCTACTCTATAATCAACAAGAGGCACTCTGCCTCATCTTTGCAGGAACCGAATATCCCTGCCCGCAAACTAGGCTCCCGCGATGTTTGAACCTACCCCTACGACTGTCCCGAGAAGAACCTCAACTTTCTTCATGAGGTCGGGGATCCGGAACGGCTTCGATACGACGTCGTCCATGCCGCTCCGTCGCGCGGCAGCTACCTGTTCATCTCGGACGTTGGCCGTGACGGCGATGACGGGTACGTGCCCACGGATCGTCCCGTCGTTCTGCATCTTTCGAATGACCCCGACACACGTTAGTCCGTCCATGTTTGGCATCTCAAGATCCATTAAGATAACCGACAGCTTCGTCCCGCCTTCCTTGCGCCAATGTGTCTGCTGTAGGAAAGCCAGCGCTTCAACGCCATCGTTGGCAACAGCAACCCGTGAGCCGACCTTTTTGAGCTGCTTGACAAGAACATTCTGATTGACGAGGTTGTCCTCCACTACGAGTATATCGAGATTCTTAGGGTCGAAATCCGGCGCTGGGAATGTCTTGGCAGCGACGAGATCGGACGCAGCGGATGTATGCGACGCAAGGTCCTGGCGCTGAGGAACGACGATCTGAGAGGGGAAATTCGCGCTGTTGCCCAAATCGCGAGCCTGCGGGAGAGACTGCGCAACGGGTGTAAGCGACGGCGCATCGGCGCGCCGAGCAGCGATGAAGAAGCCGAAGGTGCTCCCAGATGCCGCCTTGGATGCAACGCCGATCTGGCCACCGTGAAGCTCGGCTAGCTGACGAGAGATGAAGAGACCAAGGCCGCTGCCACCATATTGTGCGTGGGTACGGGGCGAGGCCTGCGAGAAGCGCTCAAAAAGTACCTTCATTTCCTCTGGTGTGAGTCCGACACCAGTGTCAGTGACGCGGAAGTTAAGGTAGCTCATTGTTCCACTTCCCCACTCTTCACCCATGACTACTTGATTATTGAGCGTTCGAGGTGGAATGTAACGAAAGTCCGGAACGATGACGGTGCGGGGCGATTCCCGTGAAACATTGATCGAGACAGTGATGGTTCGTTTGGCGGCGCCGGCGGTAAACTTGATGGCGTTGGTAATGAGGTTGATGAGAATCTGCAGTACGCGGCTTGGATCCAACATCATCCACTCAATATTCTCATCTTGAAAAGACGGATGAACGTCGAAAACCATCTCAATCTGCTTGGCCTGCAGTTCCGGATCGAACATTTTGATTGCTCGCTTGACGACCTCCACTGGTTGAGCGCTGATGGGCGTAATAACAAGAAGATTCGAATCCAACTTGGAGACGGTAAGAATGTCGTCGACGATGGACTTTTGGTGCTGAACACATAACGAGATGGTCTGTGCCGCGTCCATACAGGCCTCAACATCTTCTTTTGACGGCATCATTTGCTGGGCATGGTGCTGGCCAAGCGTGGATAAGATGTCGTCTGCACATTGGAGAATTGCCGAAAGAGGGTTTCGCATCTCGTGCGATGTGATGTCGATGAACTCGTTCTGCTGCCGGCGCGTTTCTTCAGCCTCTTGGAGCCTTCGGTTTTGCAAACCTTGCGCCCATTTAAGATGAGAAATGTCTGTGATGGAACCCATAACAGACCGAACCGAACCGTCAGGTGCAAACTCAGGCTGCGCAGTTGCCATGACCCAGTAGTCGATGCTCTCGCCGTGCAGATCGACAGGTTGCATGCGCAACTTCTTCAGCTGCAACTCGCCTGTCCACGCTTGGTGATCTCTTACCAGTCGTTCCCAGCCCTCTAGCATGGTCTTCTTGCTGCCGTCCTCGATCTGCTCCATGAACGACATCTCGTATATGACGTCTCTCGGATGGCCCGTCATTTCAAAATAGCGGTCGTTGCCCTCTCGAAGAACACCATCGGGGCTGACTAGATACATGCCCAGAGGCGACAACTCTGTCATGCGGCGCATTCGGCTCGTCTGCAAGAGGAGCTGTTGAGTCAAGTTTTCCTGCTCCAAAGCAGCGGCCTCCGCGAGATCGCGGCTCTTCTTGACTTCGTCCTCGTAGAGCATGAAAGATGCCAGCGAGGTTGACATTTGTCTGTTCAGCATGGATGTGAATGACTTGTAGCCATCATCATAGAAGCGACGAGGGCTGATGCCAAGCATCAGAAAGGCGAGAACATTCTCCCCATTGGTTGGGCGGACAGGGAAGATGATAGCTTGTTTGCATGGGTCGCCAAATCCGCGCCAGTTGATGCCTTCGAGTAATTCCTCTGGCAAGGTTCCGTCTCTCGTATGAAGCAACGTCGGTTCTCTTGTTCGCATGGATTCCCGGAACGCGGGAATGAACCCGTCGCGACTGCGCTTAAGGTCAAGCTGTTTGGGTGCAGCTATGTGGCCCTCGGGAATTCCGAGGGATCCCTCAAAATGGCATGACTTGAGAGACATGGTGCTGCCTGAGGACACAGATGACTCGTTGTCGTCCTCGGCGTCGACAACAGAGTAAAGCAAGGCGAAAGGTATATCGAAGTGATTATCTTCGAAACTCTCCATGAGAAATTTCCAGAATTGCTTGATGGACTTAGCCCGGGCTACATTTTCGCCAACCTTGTTGATCGTCTTGGTTCGGCGCTGGTGCAAGACTGACTGTGTCGTCTCAAAAGGCGCATTGTAGAAGCCAAGAATCCGGCTCGTGCCGCCATACAGCGGTGTCCAAGACCAGGAATAAAAGGTCTCCTCGAGGAAGCCATGCCGTTCAATAGGCAAATAGTCGTCCTCCTTGCGAATACTGACACCTGTCCGCGCGCATTCGGCAAAGATGCCGCTCACGCCATCCCATAGCTCTGAAAAGGGTCCCGAAAACCCCGTGCCCATGAGAGAGGGATGCTTGTTACCAGCGACCTCGGCAGCATATGCCTCATTGTAGAGCATAGTCAGGTCGCTGCCCCAAAAGAGAGCGGCGGGGAAGGGATTTCCCATGACCAGGTTGACAGTCTGGCGGAACTCGCGCGACCACTGATTGAGAGGACCGAGAGGAGTGTTTTCCCAGGCCACGGTGCGAGCATAGGCGATGTGAGCCGAGAGGATGCCTTTGGGGTTCGGTACAGTCCAGTCTGCAACGGCCTTTTCCGGTGTCGCGAGATGGAGGCGCGCACTTGTCGAGGTGGTCCCCGTCTCATCAGAGCTTGTTCCGGCCGTCTTGTTGGGGTTCGAGGTCTGCGATAAGAGACTATGCTGCTTGGTGGAGGAGAAGAGCGTTGTTCCTGCCGTTGAGATGCTAACGTCTGTCTGCGCGGCTGTGACTTGCTGGTCGAGATGACCCGTGTCTGATGTCTCCTTGGACAAGGAAGGGGTCGCAGGCCGTGAGGTGGTGGCCGTGATCAAGTTGCCGCTGATGAGCCTCCAGCGTTGGCGGACAGTAGAACCAGTCCACAGCAAGTGGCGGTAGGTGAAGGAAAGCGGGAAGACATCTTTGGAGTTGTCGAACTTCGTCACGCCCGTTGCCCAGCTGCTGAAGTCCTCGTACGTCGTGTCTACTGCCGCGTCATTGGCGACCGCATGAGGAGTTTCGGCATCTTGAGGAGCACACCCCAGCACAGCGTTGAGAAGCAGCTCATGCGTGCGGAGAGCCGAATTGCAGAAGACTGGCCAGATGCGCTTGGCGCCTATTGTGATGCCCTCATCTGGGTCAAGATCAATGACAAAGGTGGGTCGCGAATCCTGGTCGAGGACCTCGGTGATGGTGAGAGTCTGCAGCTCGAGGAGGGAGGCAGCACGGTCATCGTCCAGCTTGAGAGGATCCTCAGATGGGTGTCCTCGCTGCGCGCTATCCTGCTCACCCCAGGGGAGATGCTCATGTTCGGGAGCCGGGTACGGTGGCTCATCGGGGGAAGCGTCGGCCATATCGTGGCATGGTGCAGGGTTAGACGATGTGCGGACACCTGTGATTACAAGGTGAAGGGGGTGGTGAAGGTTTGTGTGAGGCTCGAAAGAGGTAGGTTCGCGGTGGCAAAACGCGTGTGGTGAGCAGGCTACAGGCTAGAGATGCGCCGCAAGATGGACGAGACAGATTGCTGTGGACTAGGTACGATAGGGTTACGAGAACGGACTGGGAAGCAGGAGGGGGAGCGCCCTTGTCCTGCCGAAGCCCAGATCGAGATCCAGCCTTCCTTCCCTCTTCGTTGGCCGGGCGCGGGGCTGGTGCGAATCTGGGAGTAGAAGGTCCTCCCGTGCCTTCTCCCTGTCCATCGGAACCCCCCCCCCCTGTGACTGCCTGCGTCTCTCAATTGGTGCTGGCGCTGTGATTATTTCCTTGGCACCTCAGCACTCTTGCCCCTCACATTGGATTTTGCCGGGCGTCACCGCTCAGGGTGACGCAAATCTCTGGAGAGCGATGCGTGAGAGGCTGCTACTGCTGAGTGATGCCATTGGTTGTTTCTGTTTGTTCCTGCTCGCATTCCTCCGTTAGGCACCAAAATAAGCCACAGGCGTCATTGGTTGTCATTTGGACGATGCACCTACAGGCGTCCTACAGTGTAGCTCTCATCACGCGGAGCAAAGGGCCCAGAGACCTCAAAGAATCCAAAATCGAAATCCACCGTTGTGCACATGGCAATCCACTTCCGGGACCTTTTGAGCCTAGGATTCTAGCCCGAGTCGGGCCACCTGCGTGCGAGTCATGATCAAAGCCTGCGGCACGCGGGCACTACTGTCTCAAGCTGTCATGCTCCTTGGCATTTCTGTCTATTCGATAGAATCAGCACTGACAGCAGAGTCACGATTGCTCGGCGTTGAGCCCTTGTAACTACCTCGGAACACGAGAGCAGCAGTTCATCTGACTCGGAATTTAAAGATGTCCGCTTTTCCACTCCACATGCTTTAATGGGGGAGGCCTTTGCTTGATGTATGGCATGTTTGACATGATGTCACCAATATTGGGCGGTCTTGAAACAGAATAATAGACTGTTTCCCAGTGACAAGAATTGTTGTTTTGGAAGTAGGGAACTGTGGCTGGCTTGCCGATCCGCGAGGTGCGGCAACTGTTGGATCCAACTGAACAGTGTCAGTCCCATCATTTGACTTCAGATTACGCATCCAACGACTGCATCCCATTTGATATCAAATCGATATCCTGCGGCTATGCTTCAATCATCGGATTCACAAAGCCATCACACTCCGCCCTCCATCTGATGTTAGCCGGGCGCGGATGTTCACTCTCAAAACCCGATGGGAGAGACGCTCTGCAGCTTCAAGAGTCTGGTTGGAAACCTCTGGGCTGTCATTCCCATTGCTTGAGTCATCCGAGCTGTCGTTATCGTCATTTTTGACGCCCTTATTTCCATCCGTACATTCACGACCAAAGTCTTTGCTGTCAATGATAGAACTGGGCGAGAACACCAAAGCCTGGCCAGTGCGAAGGTTGACGATAAGCGAAAAGAGCTCGGCAGCAGGGTCTCTCCCGCGGACAGTGATGGGGTGCACGCCAGGTCCCCCATGGTTCTGCTCAGCCTCGGTCTCCACATCCCCTGCAGGCACCAACGAGGACACTCCAGCCAGATGTTTCTGGAGTGCGCGGAGCCAGTCCGGAGACGTGAAGCGGTGGACGATCGCCACGGAGCACAGGTCGAGGAGCTTTGTCGAAACCGTCGGCTCCTGGGTAGAGATGATGACTCGCGTGCCGAGATGTCTTTGCAGCCGGACGACGCCCAGCAGATTCTCCGTGAAGATGCACGACTCCGGCGAAGTGTCCCTCATGTACTTGTGCGCCTCGTCCAGTGCAACTACTCGACTGACGCTTTTGTCACCTTCGAGAAACAGTTGGAGTGCGATGTTGAACAGCGAGCATGCCATGTCCGACGTGACACAAGGGCACGAAAGGTCGACGATGATGAGTTGACCTGCCTAAGACTTTCGTAAGTATAGCCCCAACAAGTCGAACGGAAACTTACGCGAGGCGTCCAGTTGTTGCCCCCCGTCGTTTTCATCATCTTTTTCTGTTTCTTCGAAAGAATCGGCGATGATGCCATGAAGCTCTCCAAAGTGTCCAGTCTCTGTTGGAGGGGAACCGATTGCGCAATTTGTAGATCTTCGTTGTTCATCCTGGCCTTGAACTGCGCATATTCAAATGGTTGGCCGGAAGTCTGCTGGCTAATTCTCATTTCCCTCAGGATGCGTGTCACAACGTGCATGTAGAGGGGTACGTTCCCGGCGCCTACTGCCATTAGGTTGAGCATTCTTTGCGTGTTGAGATCTTCGTCTCTCAGGCGGAAAGGCTCAATGACGATGTTGGGAACCCGGGCGTAGGTATTCTTGTAATTTTTGTCGTCAGCATAAATTACTTGCTATTGCTGCATGTGTGATGCTCACCTTGATTGTCTGGATGTTGGTGGGCGCACAGAGAACACGAACCCTTACTTGCAGGTCAGACGCGAGGAAGGCAGCTTCGCAGGGAAGCCCAATTAGATCCGAGTTAAATCCATCGTAATGGAACACGATTCCCGTCAGAGGATGAGGGAGATTGCCAAGCTCGCTGCGTAGCAGACAGTTCTCTAACAGACAAGCAAGCGTGTTGCTTTTGCCAGCTCCCTGGCTGCCACAAATAAATGTCGAAGCCGGAGCGGTGACGTTCTGGAAGACCCTTGCGGAAAGAACAGCTGTCTTGCTCTCAGAATTATTGAGCTGCTTGGACGAGCCACAGCTGGCTCCAATGAGACCATGTTGGATGTCTGGGCACGCCCTAAGAGCGGGCACTGTCAACAGTGGACTGGAAGCAAACTCGTCTTGATGTTGGTCATCCTGAGGCGGGGCAAGATATCGAAGCTGAGCTTCAAGGTCGGAATCGAAAGTCTTGACGCGGGGCGCAGATGCACTGCTGGCACCCCCCGAGCTCTGGGAACTGGAAGACATGGTGTCTGCGAGTATGGACGAGTGAGTGTTTTGCGCTGTTGGTCATCTCATCTTCTTGTGTAGTTCCATGTTACTTATACCCGACAGTACAGGCTGATAAGAGGCTGCTGGAAGAAGCAAGAAATCTTGAGGTCGTTCCCCGTCTCACCAAAAAGAGACCTGAACTCCTTTCAGGATGCTGGTACTACAAGCGGTAATTGGTTGAAAGGCAGCGTCCCAGGCTACTAGATTGTATATTGGTATCCTGCTTGATTTGGAGAGATCCACATACATGCTTTTTCTGGTCGGCCTCCCACATGAGGGTCACATCTTGATCCAGATACGAACGGAACTTTAGAGACGAAGCCGCTGGGATTTGTTTCTCAATTCCAGCACCTGACGGTGCATTCAGTTGCTGCGGTGTTCGTGACTAATGGGTATAAATGATTCGGAAGCACAGACATCATTACAGAGACGGTTCAATGATGGTAGGGTGCAGTAAGCATTGGCATTTCATGCATCGTACTTCGCCAGAATAAAAAAAAAATCAAAAACGAAAAGACCAACGCGTCTGCGACCTCCCAATGAGCGCCAGACACAAAACTCCTAACCCCAGTGATATGCAGCCCCCGCGCCCCGACTTGCAAACGCCTCGCTGACCCTGCATGGTCCAAAACTAACCATGCAACGAAGTTAGCCCGTGGGCCCAAACTCACACGGCACCGACAAGGCCCTCATACGCCCGCTCGACAGTGCGGCCTCCCATACCAGGAACAGTTCTCAGCTGGGCCAAGGTGAAGATGTTTCCATCGTCATCTTCGCCCATCAAACGCAAGAAGTCCACCAAGTCTCTCGCCTTCTTCGCCCCAAAGCCGTGTAGACGTTGAATCTGTGCCAGATCTCTCGAGTTGACAATGTCAAGCAGTTGCTGAGAGCGCGGTGATGTTGGCTCATAGGGGGTTGATGTCAAGGGAATGACAACCTTGACATGCTTGGCAGTCTTCTTGCTTCTCGGCTTGGGGTCGCGGTACACAAAACTCTCATCTGCGTCCGCGTCGGCATCGGCGACGCCATGATACTCATCCTCATCCAACGCAACGACCTTTCGACGCTTCCGCCTCGACTCCTTTGTGCATTCATCCACGTCCATACCGAGCCGCGCGCGAAGCTTCTCGATTTTGCCGAGGAGCTTGGCCTGGCCAGGGAAAAAGGGGAGCGCGAGCTGGTACATTTCCAGTGCAGTCGCGTCGTCACCCTTCTCCTTTGCCTGCCGTGCCAGCAGCAGGTGCCTGAGGCCATCAGACCTTGAGTCTTCTCGTCGTTCGTCTTCCTGTATCCGCCTCTCAAGAGCCTCCAGTCTCTTCTGCACAGCATCATTGATATCGGGATGGACTGCCGCTACAGCAGGCGCAACAGGCTCAGCCGCTTGGCTGACTCTTGCGGCAAGGATCTCGCTAACCTTCTTCTCGACCAAAGCCTCGAGCTGATCGGCAGAGATGGAAAGCTTTGTTTGCGCAGAATGGAGAGGCTGGCTAGGCCGCATGATCTTGGTCGGCCGAGCAAGGCTGTCGGAATCAGAGGGCCGTTTGCGGACCTGAGTGATAACAGCAGCTGTACGCGCCATAGCAGTAGGCTTGCTTTTGTCAGTATAAACACTGAATGCCTTGACGGGCCGCGTCGCGTCGACAGCCTTCTCCTTGTTGGCCATGACGCCGCTGTGGACATTGTGCGCATTGGCCAATGGTCGCAGTGCTTGGCGGGTCGTTCCCGCGCCGTTGTTCGAGTTTGTGCGAGGTACCTGCTTGAAGACAACCTCGTTCTCGATTTCGCGGACTTCGATTCGCTTCGCCCGCGAGCTGACATTGAGACTACTCAACGTGTCGAGATGGTAGCTTCGGAGGGGTGCCAAATTCAAAATCATGATTGTGATGCCGTTGTTCTGGCCGAGGCTGAGAATGCGCGTCATTTTGGACTCGCGGTACGGAATGCGCTTGTCGCCTCGGGAGATGGCATCGATACACTGCGAAAGAACGAACAGACTCTTGTTGATGGCAGCCGACTCGACAAGGCGCTCCTTTCCATTGTCTGTCCTGCGGTTGTCTTCGGATCCAGCCAAGTCAATGGCGGAAGCGGTACTTTCCCTGACCACGTCGCCAGTGGTTTGTGTGACCTTGACGCGCAGGATAGCATGGCTTCTACTGCTGTGCGCGTTGAGCTTGGTCGACGCAGTGACGCGGTTGTTGTTGGCCTCGATGTACAGTTTCTCGAAGTCCTTCAAGTCCTGACAAGGCCGCTCGGAGAGACCGACCACGATGGTTTTGCCATCTTTCTCGCGCAGCGGCAGACCAGCGGGCAGTCTCTTCTCGGGGGGTTCCATCAAGTCGAAGACCTTGTCGTTGTAGATTTCATAGTAGGAGAGCGCCACATCCACTGTTGTCTGACCGTCCGTGTCCTTCGCGGTCTTCTTTCCTCTCCTGTAGATGCCGCTCAGTAGCCGAGGGATGACGCCTCGATCAGCTAGCTTGAGACCGCCTCGCATGGTGTGCGTCTTTCCGGTTCCGGTAACTCCATAGGCAAATATGGTGACGTCGAGACCTTGGAATAGAGACTTGAGATGTGGTGAGACTAGAGCCAAATGTTAGAGCCGTATTGCCGCGAATTCTGTCCTGCACCATCCAATCCTGCCTACCCTCTGAAGCGAACAGCGCCTCTTGCGTCGCAGCCTGGTCATAGACACTGTTGAACGCGAACGAAAACTCTTCTGATTCGTTCTTGGGGTTCGGGATCTTGACGAGCGTGGCCGGCTTGCCCTCTTCGGTGCTGTCTGCCGTGACAATGGTGTCCTTGTCAAGCTCCTTGGCGAGCAGCGGACGTATGCGCGCAACGACTCGTACAGACATGATGTATGCTGGCCAACTGACTCCAAAGAAAAGAGAAGAAGCACGCCAAACGAAGGAAAGGCACTGGCAATCACCGCTCCAAAGCAGTTTCGTGGTGTTCGTGTTAGAAGAAGATGGTTCGTGGTTGCAAGGGCGAAGCGGGAAGAAAGCTTGGGCCAAAGCTCGCCAACGTCAACAGGGATCCGCCGTCACAGCGTTGTCGCCCCGGCAACAGCTTATCACGTGATATTGGAAAGGCAGGAATTCTCGAGCTTGGGAGCTCATACCAGGTCTCGTCATTGCCGTTCCGACTTTTTGCCGCATCTCGAATCCGTCTGGCAGAGCTTCACGAATCGGTGCTTTGTCGCCATAGCTCCTCTCCCCCCCCACCAGCCGCCATCATGCATGGTCAATCGCCATTGATTCGAACGGCTAGAGGCCTGAGGACAGTCAAGACACGGCCATCATCCTGTCGCCAATGCAGAACCATCCAGATCAGCGCCGCGCCCACTACTGAGACACCTCGCATTGGAGGAGATGCGTTTGGGCTTCCTGCTAATACCTCTGTCCACGATGTTGCCGGTACGAGCCTCTCAATCCATTTGTGCATGGCGAGGCTTTTTGCTGACTGTTTCGTGCAGATGCTCGTTTCGAAGTCCTTGGCTCACCATACTCGATGCTTTCCGTCACCCTCTCACCTTCACAGAAGCTTTACACTCGGCGAGGCACACTGGTCGGTGTAGCTGGCCAGGCAGATAACGTATGTCCACATGGCGGTTCGAGTGCGATTGAAGGGAAAAAAAATCATGCTGACCATGAGATCAGGCGCAATCGACGCTTTCAATTCTCTCACCCTTCTCCCGAGCCTTCTTAGGCATCCCCTTCTTGTACCAGAGGATATCGTCATCAACCCCGCTGACGGCCCTGATCTCAACGAAATCCCCGACTACTACTTTCTCCATCCTCCACCTTGACGGTACCACAGACTACATGGTCGCGCAGCGAAATGCGCTATTGGCATGGACCGGTCACACTCTCTTACTCAGCCCGCGCGTGAGCAGGGGCTTGTCGCTGGCGCACTGGGGTTCAACGCATCTAAGTGGCCGTGGGCTGGCAGCGCTGTCGTCACCAGGCCAAATCTATCAACTGACACTTGGTGACGGCGAGGAGTTCGTCGCTCACCCATCGCACGTCGTCGCTTACTCGGTTTCGCGCAACCCGCCTCTGCCATTCCGCCTGAAGTCTTCGTCGTTCCGACTCCAGATCCCGAGCGTCACCGGCCTGTTCCCCGAAACCAAGTTCTTCAAGACCATGCGGGACACAGACACTTACAAGGCGATTGGCCGCTTCCTCTTCAGCCTGAGGACATCGATGCGGAGGACCATCTGGGGCGACAGACTCTTCCTTCAGTTCCGTGGACCCACGACGCTGCTAATGTCGAGCCGCGGCGTGCGCGTTGCCGATGTTTTGACCAACCAGGAGGTCAACGAGATCTCAGATGCACAAGCCGGTGTCGTTCCCAAGGCTGTCGAGCTTTCCTCCCAGCCAAAGGCCGTGGAGGCGGCATCCACAGAACAAGCCCCGTCAGCCATCCATATCGCGAGTGTCGCGAAGGATGGCAAGGTCAGCTTTGAAGACGCAAAGGATTTGAAGGAGTTCGTCCGGTGATTCGACTGAGCCAACCATTCTGGCTGTATCACCCGTCGGGGATATGTCCTCGGCCGGGGCATTCGATGCCGCACCAACGCGCATCGACCGTGTACCTTTACTGTTGTAATAGACCCATGACGATCGGATCTGACGGAATCCGTCTTGCTTATCTCGGCAATACTTTTGGTCATCCCCGCGAAGAGCCACAAGCTGCTGCGTGCTTATCAATGTCTACGGAGCCGAGCGGAAATACGGTCGAGCTGCCACCAGGAGCAATGAAAGTTGTTGGTGCCCAGTCTCGCAATGCAGCCCCTGCAAATCCGTGCGTAGTTCTAGAATTATGGTGTAGAGAATTCTGGTTGTGTGCGACGTGATCGCCGATTAATTTCATCATGAAACTTCAGGTCGACAGCACGTTGTATTCGGGTGTATCCGAGCAGTATGGAGCTAAGTCGCAAGGATTGCGATCAGCCTCAGTACGCCGATCAATTCTTATGCGCTGTGCATCCATTGTACAATTTTGAAAGCTGTCCACTGGCTCCTAGCCGCCGGTTGAGTCATTCGGTCATGAACCGCAGGTGGAGTCTGACAATTTGGTTCTATCACTTGCTATTGTATTTGCCGTGCTGATGAACCGGGCGGACTGCGCTCTTTGACCAGTTGCTTTTGCCAGCGCACGCAAACCACGAGGCAATGTCGTAATTGGGGCTGCTCGCCTTCGCGTTTTGCTGTCGCGACGTTTATTCCCACTAGGTTCAGCGACACCCTTGCCGTCTTAACCGGATTCAGCCAAACACTCACCTTCTGGCTTTTTTCACGTGTTGGATCTCTCACGCTGAGTTATTGATGGTGATGACGCTGGGTGGGCATCCGCTACAGCGTTGCTGTGCAGCGCAATAAGCTCCGCGAGGCAAGGATCCCAAGCCACGTACTGACCCCGTACTCGACTCAAACCGCTCTCAAGATTGTGAATGAGAGGCTGCGCTCCAAGAATACACAGAGAAAAGCTCGAACAGTTGCGGATTCAGGTCTTGTCGCCCCACAGTCTTGCGGCGGCCAGAGACCGACCGCCATGACACGCGGATGTCGGCCGCAATCAGCAGCGGCCAACCCAGAGTAGCTACGCCTTTACCGTAGACCCCCTGGTCGACTGATGGAGTCAGAGCGAGAAAAATGGTCGTTTTGTCAATCACATAGAAGATCATGGTCCAATCGCGTCCTATGATTGTCGTTGAAGGGCGTGCTGCCTTTCCTCTTCTCGATGCGATCCTACAGTCACCCCCTACTGCAGCAATTCTCCCGCTCTACACACATAACGAACGCGTCACGCCGCGATTGCTAAGCTCCGTGGCCATAAACCCGAGACTACGGTGATTTCTAACGACCGGTTGAAGAGGCTGTAGCCCCGAGCTCGATCTGCCAATCGCTGTTTGTACTAGGGCGCGATCTTCGCACTACTCGGGCTCGGCACCTTACATCCGCCTTCCGTCTTCCGTCTTCCGCACATAGCTTCACAGCGAACAGATCAAACTTTTGACACAGGTTAAAGGAGACGAAGGTCCCCGTTTTGAACGGCACGCGGAGAAAGCTCATCATCGATTGCACGGATCTCAAAAAGTCATCACAATGCCGCGATCAACAACAAGCGACATGTCGGATTCGTCCAACTCATTCATCGCGGCCGAAAAGGCGGCCACAAATCAACGTAGACCACGAGCCGAGTCTGGTTCAACAGTACGACCGTCACTCGACCGCATCCCGACGCAGATCCACCACACCGAGGCCGCTATCTACCCGGAACCCGCCGACGTCGTGCAAGCCGAGATGGAGAAGACCGGTGCCGCACCAACGGCCAAGAAGCATGGGGACGTCGAAGCAGCTAGGAGCAGCCCTTCGACCGGCTTCGATCCCGCCGACTTTCCTGACGGCGGCCTGGAAGCGTGGCTCGTTGTTCTCGGAGGCTGGTGCGCGCTGTTCTGTACCTTTGGCCTTGTCAACTGTGTGGGTGTGTTCCAGGACTACTACCTCAGGGGTCCATTGTCCGACTACTCGGCCTCTGAGGTCAGCTGGATCACGAGCATGCAGGTCTGGTGCATGACTTTCGGCGGTGCCATCTGGGGCCGGGTTTACGACTCGTATGGACCCCGGCCCCTTCTCATTGGCGGCACCATCGTGTACGTCTTCGGCCTCATGATGACCTCGCTCGCCACTCAATATTATCAGTTCATTCTCGCCCAGTCGCTCGTCGCGTCCATGGGGTCTTCGGCTGCCTTCAACGCCTCCCTCGCATCCGTCTCGTCGTGGTTCTTCCGCCGCCGTGCCGCCGCTCTCGGCATCATGGTGTCGGGCTCCTCCCTCGGCGGCGTCGTTCTCCCCATCATGATGACCCGCATGATCGACCCCGAGATCCTCAACGTTGGCTTTCCCTGGACGATCCGCGCCGTCGCCTTCCTTTTCCTTGGCCTCCTGACTGTCAGCTGCTTCACCGTCAAGTCTCGCCTCCCGCCGAACCCGCGCCCCCTCGTCCTCCGAGAATACGTCGACACGCTGCGCGACCCCAACATGGCCCTCCTCGTCTGCGGCTTCTTCATGTTCTTCTGGGGCATGTTCCTGCCCTTCACCTACATCATCATCCAGGCCAAGGAGCAGGGCATGGACCCCACGCTGACGACCTACCTGCTGCCCATCATGAACGCCGTCAGCATCCTGGGTCGCATCATTCCCGGCATCGTCGCCGACAAAATGGGACGCTACAACGTCATGATCATCATCGTCGTCTTCAGCGCCATTGTCACCCTCGGCCTGTGGATCCCCGGCCGCAGCGACGTCACCGTCATCCTCTTCGTGGTCCTCTTTGGCTTCTCGTCGGGCGGCTTCATCTCGCTGGGACCGGCCCTTGTCGCGCAAATCTCCGACATTCGACAGATTGGCATCCGGACGGGCACGGCCTTTGCCGTGCAGTCCTTCGGCGCCCTGACGGGCAGCCCCATTGCCGGTGCCATCGTCGCGGCGCAGGGCGGCGAGTATCTGGGTCTGCAGCTCTTTTGCGGCATGACGATGGTAGTGAGCACCTGTTTCCTGCTGGTTGCGAGGCACAGGCTGGCAGGCTTCGATCTGAAAAAAATTGTTTGATGAGCATCGAAGGCGTTGGCATGTATTGGGCATTCATTTGCATTGAGTATTGAGCATTGAGCATTCAAGTTTGGGAAAACATTCAGGTAGAGACAGACGACATTTGGAGCTGGCCGGGAAAAGAGGTATGGCTCGGCATGTAACAACACAATAATGAATCCACTTAACGACTCTTGCTCCCCCGTCTCATTCCGTGGTTCAAGTTCCTTCAGAGGGCGTGTGTGGATAGGATCACAACGACCAGGCAGTCGGTACGCCGGAAATGGTTCAGTAATTGAGTCGCGCGAGGATGGGCCATAAGATAGCAGAATTCACGCTCCTTCCATGACCTAGGATACGTGCCGGAAATCCATCATACGGTTTAAAGCTCCAGCATACCAGAGGAACATCGGAGCATCGTCCAAATGGTTGACCCGAAGGTCCGACAATCAAACTACAGGCCCGCCGCTTACAATCGGCGACCACCCGGGACATAGCCCGACTTCCGAACACGGTGCCTCCAGTGCGCGGGGTCAAATTGAGAGGCTCATTCCTAGATTCCGACCTGCCCAGAAGCCCGGAGACCCAAGACCATGGCACCTCTTCCTGGTTTCACCGGCAATCCCTTCCGCAGCCGCGCCGACATGGTCGGAGCGGCCTCGGCCTTCATCAATCCGCTGCACCCCCACAAATCTGCTTCGGGCGCCCGTATCCGGCTCCCGATTGAGACAGCCGCTGGCTTCGACGATGTCGCGGCGCAATTGGAAGGCTTTGCCAGGCCTCTGTTTGCTGTCGCTCCACTCTTGATGACAGAGGCGACGGCGCAAGAAGATCCGAAGCTCTTGACCTGGGTCCATGGCCTCAGTAATGGTGTTGATCCCTTGCATCCCGAATATTGGGGCGCCATCGGTCATGTCGACCAGCGCATGGTCGAGACAGAGAGCATCTCCTTCACTTTACTGTCGAACCCAGATATCGTATTGAACGCCATGAGCGAAACGGCACGCAACAATCTAGTTGCCTGGCTCAGCGGAATGAACGGGAAGCGCATGCCCGAGAACAACTGGCGCTGGTTCCGCGTCCTGAGCAACCTGGCATTGACCAAAGTGCTGGGTGTACCCGCAAGCGACGTGCAAGCCCAGGTCGACGAAGACTTTCGCCATGCTGGATTCATTTTACGTCGGCGAGGGGATGGAGCAGCGACAGCCTCTGGAGCGATGGCCGAGCGCAGGCCGACTACTACTCGGGCAGCTTCGCCATGCAGTTCGCGCCACTGCTGTACGTGTACTTTGTTGGCGGTGACGGCGAGAGAGTGACGCGATACCGGCGGCACGCAAACGAGTTCGCGACCAAGTACTGGCGATATTTCGACCGTGACGGCGCCGCTATCCCCTTTGGGGCGCAGCATGACATATCGCTTCGCCATGGCGGCGTTCTGGGCTGTCGCTGCCCTCGTGAAGCTCGACGCCCTCAGCATGCCTGTCATAAAAGGCCTTCTTCTTCGTCATCTTCGGTGGTGGGCAGCGCCAGAGCGTGCTACCATGTTCCACACGAATGGCTGTTTGAGTATCGGCTTTCTCTATCCCAACATGTACATGAGCGAGGACTACAACTCTCCTCAGTCAGTGTACTGGTGTCTGAAGTCGTTCGTTGTGCTCGCGCTCGGAGCAGGAGACGGATTCTGGCAGTGCGAGGAAGGAGTTCACCCCGCTGACCTTCCATCACCCGCCTTCCAGCCTGCTGAGGTGATCTGGCCCCCTCGTCAAATCCTTGTCAACGATAGTGTCCATCACTACTTGCTGTCATCAGGCCAAGGGACTGTGAAACCTTTCAAAGCACGGGAAGCCAAGTACGGCAAGCTTGCATATTCATCTACCTTTGGTTTCAGCGTGCCGACGGGGACGTTGCTCCATCAGCTTGCCCCGGATAGCACGCTTGCTGTTTCCATCGATAATGGTGAATCTTGGAGCCTCAGACAGAGTCCTTCCGATGTTGGGCTTGTGCAGGTCAAAACCCGCGATGAGACTTCATCTGGCATCACGAGCCGTTGGAGGCCGTGGAGCTATCTTGATATCGTTATCGACACCACACTCATCAGCAGCCCGGTGACCTTCCCCGGATGGCATTTCAGAATCCACAAGCTCAACTATTCTTCTTTGCCAAGCTGGACGCCGTCCCTTCAGGTAGTGGACGGCGGGTTTGCCATCGCCTCAACGACTGAGAAGGGATTGTTTTTTCCTGAAGCTACTCAGGTCGACTTTGATGGCACAGAGTGTTATTCTGTTTCTGCCAAGGAACGGAGATCTCTTGTTATGTCGAGGAAAAGTGCAAGTGGTATCGCGGACCTATCTAGTGCGTCGGTGGCCGAACAACTTTCAACCAGTGCTGAAGTCCTTCGTCCAGACCCAAACACAAATCTGATGGCATCGCGAACGCAGATACCAACGCTCAGGCGCAAGTTCCCGCCACAGCTTGGGAATGCCGATATGGTCATAGTCACGGGTGTGTTCGCCACTAGTCATCCCTGCCGTCAGGAGGCAGTACGCTCATGGAACGCACCGCCGACAGAATTCTTATTCTTAGGCGGCGTCTGGACTTTGACGTGATCGCCAAACTTAAAGGTCCTCAATACAATATATTGCTTCTTCTCACTTCCGTCCTGCCGATGTCCAATGGGGAGTGACTGGGCGATGGAATACTGGTGATGCTATGTTTCACGTTTGACCATGCCTTCATGACAGTTGCCTGTCAGGCATCTCTACCTGTGAGGCCCGTCGCAGCTACGCGGTCTGTATTCTATGAGGACGTCAAAATTTGCTTTACTGAATGGCCTGGATAAAACAAGCTGCAAGTCTTGAGGTCGCTGTTGTGCCCCAGAAAGAGATCATCCGACTGGAACTCGCTCGGCAAAGTCATCACTGCTCTTGTGATGAATTTCAGGGACCGGAGCCACGCCCTTTCCAAGTGACAGGGGCAGAGAAATGGGCAACGTATGTGAACCCCCACGACACAACACTGTTCAGATGCTGGGTGGCATGTTGCGACTTTTTGCGCTACCCGCGCCCGCGCCAAAAATCCTTAGGCAAAGGATGACCCAATAAGGCCGATAGCAAGTGGAAGCTCAGCTGAGTGTCGCTGAAGAGCAAGAAACGTGCGGGCGTCGGGCCTTCGGTACGACTCAGTCGGCCATGGAGCATCTATACCCCACCACGACGGGAGGCGGCGGGTAGAATTGGGCCGATTGGACTTCTCCGAGGCAACAACATCCGCAAATCTCAGATCATCAATGGCTATCGGCGGCGGATCATAACGTATCCGTGAGACTGGCTCCCCGTTGGTTCCGGATCTTACGGGCCATAAGATCGATGCACAAAAGGTAGAAAGCGGCACATTGTTGAAGAAGTGCATATCCAACAACTGCTACTGTATTTGTATGGCAATACCATCGTGCCAACTTCAGCCATCTCACAATGTCGTCTCCAACACTACCAGCCACCATGTCTCCGGCAGCATCAGAAAGCTCAGACTCCCCTCATATCTTGGATGCGCCCAGCGAGAGCTCTCCGGGTAGCGAAACTTCTTGGTCTGACGTCGTCGACCAGGACCAGAAGTTCCCTATTGCCGATCGGGATCTCAAGACTCATCTCGCCGAGCTTTACAGCGAGAATATTGTTGCGAAGGCTTGCAGAACTGCGGGGAGATCTTTGACCGGTGTGGCCTCTTCGACTGGCACCAATAAAACCCCAACCGGTTTCCCCGAAACAGTCTCCCAGTCAGAGCAGAGCAATGGCCAGTACGAGTTCAGAGAACCAGACTTTTGGACTTGTGGCTTTTTCCCAGGCGAGCTCGCTGCCCTCAAGGAAAGATGTGTTCGATTCCCACAGCATACCGGTCTTGGCGATACAACAGCGATCCCTGTTTCGCAGTTGTCCAGTCAGCTTGCGAGGTCCTGCGAAATCTGGCTGGAGCCTCTGCACGACATGGCAGCTCGTACAGACACCCACGATCTGGGGTTCATCATCATGCCTGCTCTTCAGCGCGATTGGGAGCTGACTGGCAATCATCGAAGCCTGAACACCATCATTAAGGCTGCTCGGAGCCTAGCCAGCCGTTATGTTCCATCAGTACGGGCCATCCGAAGCTGGGATTGCATGTTAAAGAGAGACATTAGCATCACCGACATGGAGGAGAACGCCATCATCATCATCGATAGCCTGTGCAACCTAGACTTGCTCTACTACGCCTCAGCCCACAGTGGTGATGAGGAACTCGCAGCGATAGCAACAGCGCATGCCCAGACGCTGCTCATGACTCACTTGAGGCCCGAGAGAATAGTGACCACAGCCAAAAACGGGTATCGTGGTCAGCTATATTCGACTTGCCATGTTGCCAACTTGAATCCGAGGTCTGGCGAGTTGCACTGGCGCCGTACGGCCCAGGGCTATGCCGATGCGTCGACGTGGTCGCGTGGGCAGGCATGGGCCATTCTCGGCTATGCTCAGACGTACATGTGGACGAAGAAGCGGGAGTTTCTCGACGCAGCGTGCGGTGCGGCAGAGTACTTCATCCATCGGCTGGAAAGCGCACCATCCTTTGTGGAGAAGGTCACAAATGGGGGCAGAATCGGCCGCTATGTCCCGCTCTGGGACTTTGATGGGCCAGTCGCGGACGAGACGAGGCCTCTTCGGGACAGCTCTGCGGGTGTGATCGCAGCTAACGGCATGCTCATTCTGTTCCAGGCCCTTACCGCCATATCGCAACGTTCGGTCGCCAGCCGCTTCCTTGAAGCTTCCATCACAATTGTGAAGGACACATTGGACTTTTCTCTGGCTGAAGAGCGAGCTTGTTTCCTAAGTGACCCTTCTGCTGATGGCGAGCTTGTGGTTCAGGATGTGGTGCCTGGGAAGACATTCGATGCTGTGCTGAAGAACGGCACAGCCAACAACAACGATGGAGCGCGGAGGAGAATTTGGGATCATGGCCTGGTCTACGGGGACTACTACTTGGTCGAGTACGGGAACCGATTGCTACAGATGGGGCTAGTATAAGGAGAGCTCGAGGATAGAAAGGTCATTTGCGGGAACAGGTGCAAGCATCCTAGCTCTTTTGACACACACAATACGGTAGATGGATAGATCACAACATGCTGATACATGCGATACTCATTGCGGGTGCGCGTAACTTATTAAACTAACTAAGGATCACAGCCCCTTGTAGTCTTTTTGGGATCCACAAGGTCCAAAAGAACCGGGAAAACGTGTACACCCCTGATCAGCCATGAATTGTCCACGCTCATAATCCCACCCTTGCGACTGAGATTTGACAGTGATGGACCTCGGGACAGGTCGCTCGGACTGCGCACCCCCGAGGCCCTCTTCCCGTACAGGGGCCTTCTTTGGGTCAACGAATCAGCGACAGCGACCCAGGCAACCCATGAAGGATCGACAGTGGAATCTGTTTATCCTCTACTGAGATGTGGAGATCTACAATGTTCTCCAGATTGACACTGAATGTCCCACACTTTTCCCCGCACAAACACCGGCGGGAGTGCCCTTCGACAGGTTACGCTTGGAGTAGCCTTGAGAATAAATCAACGACAACGCCCCGAAACAAGGGAAAGGAGGGAGGGGGCAAGGGAAGTTCCAAGCAGCAACACCAGCCATGACTGACGAGCCAAACGAGAATCATAGCGACGCTGCGAACGAAGGCAACGACGACAGCAGCATCAATGCCTTCGAGGGTGGCTTGGCATGCAATGGCTGCCGCCGGCGCAAGCTTCGATGTTCTCGCGAGGTTCCCACGTGCCAGCAGTGTCGGAAAATTAGTGAGTCTACGACCACTCCACATGAGTGCCGGGCCCCTCAAGACTCTGGAAGAGTTGGCTGATAGTGAGCGCTGTCGCTAAGGTGGCGATTGTGTTTACGAGACGAAGCGAGTAAAGCCAGGCCTTAAGCCTGGCGCAGTCGAAATGCTCCAACGACGACTTGGTAAGCTACGAGCGCGTTACATTTCGAACACTTGATTCCCCAGAATGGAAACCTTGCTCACTCCACTGGCCTACTAGACGCCCTTGAGAAACTCATTGAACAGCAAGGTCCCCGAGTGACACAAGACGGCACAAACTCTCAGGACACGGCAAAAGAGTCGGTTTCCCCTCCTGCAAGCACTAATCCATATGAGATTCTTTCTTTATTTGCACGAGAGTTGCAACGTTTCAATGAAATGGCCGCCACATCCCCCGACCACCAGGCTGTAAATGGTCCAAGAGACAGACCTCCCCCGAACAAACGCCGTCGAGTAGATACTGGCTCGGCTGCCGGTATGACTGGACCTCGTACACAAGTTGGCCTTGAAATTCCACCAATGCCAATTGGTGAAGCTTTAGAGGCATCTATGTGCTCTTACTTTAGCCACATCCACCCATGGATACCCATTATACACGAGGGCCGCCTGCGACGTCGTCTCGTCCGCCCAGCTGATAACGAAAGGCTACGGGTAGTGCTGTATGCCATGATGCTCTCTGCGTCTCGATTCATCGAAGACGTAGAAATTTCATCCGCCTGGACGCTTCCGTACGAACAGCAGATGAATGCAAGAGACTGGATCGTCGCCGAAGCCATGAAGAGTCCTAGCGTCGAGAGTCTCCAGGCTCTGGTCATCGTAGCCTTTAACGATGTATTTTGTACACCTTGCGTACCCTTTTGAGCCAATGCTGACATCCATAACTCAGATAGGCAACGGCGAGGGCTCACTTGCATGGTCATTAGTCGGGTCTATGACTCGCACTGTTGAGTACTTGCAGCTGACGGTCGAAATCGATGGGACAGACAGACCCTCACTGATTCAGCCCTGGGTCTCACTGCCGCCTCCTCAGGATTGGACAGAAGCCGAAGAGCGTCGCAGGGTGTTCTGGTCCGTTTTCAATCTGGATCGGTTCTGTTCCGTATCGATGGGATGGAACACTAGCCTGACCTCGGACGATGTGAGCCGTCGCCTACCGTGTGATGGCTTTACCTGGCGGAAAGAAGACCCTGTAAACACTCCCTATTTCGGCATCTGGGACAAGGCCGCTGGCCGCATCGGAAACCCCATCGCGTTTTTGCCTTCGCACTACCAGGCCTCCTCGGAAAGCGAGAAACGCAGTCCTTCTGACCCGGGGGCGTCGCCAGGAGCCCAGCTTCGAGGAACCGATATGTCTGCAGTTGGAGCCTTTGCATATAGCGTGGAAGCAACCGAATCACTTAGTCGAGTGAATGCGTACTTCCTCCAGCAAAAGGTGAACATACGAGACAACCGTGATCTGTCGAACTGGCTTACACGCTTCAAAGAGCTTGATCTTCGTCTGGTCCATTGGAAGATGTTCCTACCACAGAAGTGGAAGGCCAATATGGCAAGGCAAACGTCACGGATGGACCCGAATTTGACCCTTGCTCATATCACCCACAATACCTCGATTATCCTGCTTCACCAAGTTATGGCCTTCCCATCTCCGGAATGGAGTTTCAAGGACCGCCTTCCAAGCCTCTTAAGCTTGGAGACTTGCCAGGCTGCAGCTGTTGAAATCGCAACGATTACGCAGAATTATTTGAAGAACGCACCTCCGACAGCACCAGTGTCTAGCCAGTTTGCTTTCGGCATTTATATTGGCGCAAAAGTGCTCCTGCTATGCTGGAGACATGCCGCAGCACAGAGCTCCTCTCTGCAGACTCTTGCGCCTGAGTTCTGGTCACTAGTAAGGAGCCTGGATGAGATGGCAAGACGCTGGACTGGGCCTCACAGGCAGGACTATGAGCGCCTGAATCTTGCAGCAAAGTACTCGCGTAAATTGTCTCAATTTCATAACAGATGTCTGGGCGACGCTTCTTATGCTATAAGCGTTTTGCGATATACTGCCGAAATAGATCAAACGCCTTCACTGGGCCGGCCTGGGTCAGATGCACGGCATCAGGCAGGAATTGGAGCTTTTGCGACAGCCTCAGCAGCTCGAAGAGAGTCTCATCCAGCACAGCCACGCCCTGACTTCGGCTTAGGTGACACCTTCACAGTCCTACCGCCGACACAAACAGCTCCGGTAATGGGCTTTACGACTGGTCCCACTGGTCTTCTCCAAGCACAGTCTCCCATCAGCGCCACCGGTAGCGGAGAACTGGGGGCAATATCCCAGATCTTCATGGACCAGCAGTTCATGAACATGGATCGTGTGATCAGTTATGATGACGGGGTATTTCAGTCAGAGTACGAAGGACTTTGGTGAGAGCACGAACCATATTTGTACTAAGACCATTCTGTATGGGTTTGGGCTGGCCTAGGTGCGTATCTTTCTCGACGCCACCTGAAGACTATCTGATCTCATCAACGCCCAACTATGTGAAGTCCGTAGAGAGGCTTTGGGCTTTCTTGCGTAATTCGAAGTATCCTAGGTATTGTAACAAGTGTAAACATGTCACGCCGTGATAATACATATTGCCACCCTTTATCATAATGGGCTCAGCCAGTCCGAGATTTACCCTTGACGTTGAAATACATCCCCAACAAGGAAAAGGGGCGCTTCTCTCAGCAGTTTGAAAGGTGGAAGTAGGCTTAACTCAAATTGGTGGGAAAAGATCCGGACTGCTACTATTTTAAGCAGGCAATCGACTTCTGATGCAAATTTCTATTCAAGCAGTGGAAAGGCTTGGAGTGGGTCATACCAACAACGACTTTGCAATCGTTGCGCAATCACACCTCACTTCGGGGCATTGTCAGGCGAATTAGCGAGTGCAACACGTCTTGGAGTCTTTAGCTTTCGCGACGGAGCGAACATCATCCGGAGACCGAAAGCGCTGGGGCTTCTCCTTTGCGCCGACAAATGGTCCGAGTCAACGTTGGCAGAAAAACTAACTTTTAGGCTGACACACCAAATGTGCTCCATTTCGAGATTGTGCTGAGCGGGGTCGCAAATCCAAATCCAGCCACGATCAACTACAGCAACGGACAGGACCTTTCCCGAGGCCCGCGAGTGTCGCCAATTGCTCCATGTTCCGACAGGCCTACCAAGTCAGCGGCTCCTCGTGGCAATTTGAGTATCTGGGGTAGATCGACCTGCTGTCACTTACTCCGGGGCCCCGGACAACCAGTGGATACGTTCAAATATAATTAAAACCTCGTCGGATGGCCATTGAGGATCCGAATGAACAAGTCGGACTCGGATTCTACGACCTCAAGACTATACATCCGTCGCCGCTTTGCCGAGGAATTGCCCATCATGTCGACCTCCCAGCAGAGAACGAACGATGAACTCAACATCCAACCTGTGCACGAGCAGGCCCAGCGCCCATCCGACTCGGCAACGCCAGTTGATCCGCCTGAGAGTGTGGTCAAGAATGGAGTTGTGGTGAGCTCGTCTGCAAAGCCTCCACAGAGAAACTTGTGGATTGCATGGCTGTACATCTTCGATTGGTACCCTAGTCACTACAGCAAGGAGGAGACGAGACTTCTCAAGAAACTAGACCGCATTATCCTGCCCCTCATGTAAGTCTTGGTATTCTCTCGCATGAGCGTGTTGTAATGGGCAGCGCTAACTCTCATTGAAAGCTGTTCCATGTGTATGTGATTCCTCTCCCATGGTCTTTCAGCTCAGCTGTAACGGGAAAGTCTAACAATGAAAAGATTTCATCAAATGGCTTGATCAATCGAACATCAACAACGCTTACAACTCCGGCATGAAGGAGGATCTCAATCTGAATGGCATTGAGTAAGATCCCGGCTGCCAAGATTTATCAAGACCTCCTACTTACTTTACAGATACAATCTGTTCCATACATTCTACAACATTGGTTACCTTGTACTGGAAATTCCCGTCATGTTGATTATCTCTCGACCCAAGCTGTCTCGCTGGATCCTTCCAATTTGCGAGCTGCTATGGACCATTGTCACTTTCTGTCAGTCCCGTAACAACAGCGCTGAGATGATCTACGGTATGCGCTTCCTCATGGGTCTTTTTGAGACCCCGGCTGCCAGCGGATCCTTGTACATCTTGGCCTCTTGGTACAGGTCCGAGGAGGTGTTCAAGCGCGCCGGCGTGTGGTACGTCTCTAGCAACATCGGCGCCATGTTTGGTGGCTACATGCAGGCTGCAGCTCATGCCGGTCTGGACGGCAAGGGTGGCATGCAGGGATGGTATGTTCACGAAAACGCCCTTCTCAAGCTCAGCTTCGCATTGCTGACTCTGTTGCACAGGCGCTGGGTTTTCATCATTGACGGAATCATCTCTCTTCCCATTGCCATCGCAGGTTTCTTCCTGTATCCCGGTATCCCTACCAGCCCGCGCATCTGGTGGCTCAAGGAATCTGAACAGCAACTGGCTCAGGCCCGCATGCAGGATGACGGTGTGAGGAAGAGTCGCAAGATTGGCAAGCGTATGCTCAAGCGCGTCTTCACTCACTGGCATTTCTACGTTGCAGTGTGCACATACGTCTGGTATGAGCCATCATCTGCCTGACGACCGTCTACGTTTTCACTAACATGTCACGCACTAGTTTCCAGCTGACGACCTGGGTTGCTGGCCAGATGATTGTCTGGGTCAAGTCGACAGGCGAGTATTCCGTCGAAATGATCAACATTCTCCCGACCGGCGTCCAAGCCTTCGCCATTGTTGTCGGCGTTGTGGTGCCCTCATTTGTGATGTGAGCTCCCACTACCTTCTACAGTATCTCAGATGAACCATCGCTAACCTGCTTTGCAGGGTCTATCCAATTTGGGTTCCATTCTTCTTCGCGGCAACAATCCTTCTCTTCTGCCACTCCACACTTCTTGTCTGGGATACGCCGCTCGGTTTGCACTTGGCTGCGTACTTCATGCTCGGCATGACCTCCTGTATCACGCCCATGCTATTCCCCTGGGTACATCTCATTATGAAGGATGATAACGAGGCGAAGAGTTTCACGACTGGTGCTATGGTAAGTTTCCCACTCACGACAGGTCAAGGTCCCGCCCTAACCATATGTATTCCAGATGACTGTCGGCTGGGCTTTCTTCACGTGGTACAACGTGGTCACCTTCCCCATCACGGAGGGACCCCGTTGGACTCGTGGCTTCACGGCGAACGTCGTCCTGACCTGCTGCTACATGACCTTTTTCTTGATCGGGCAAATTCTCTGGCGACGTGACCAGAAGAGAGGCCTGTACAAGAGGTCTATTGAGGAGGAGGAAAACCAGGAGGCCCTCGATGCAAAGCTTGAGGAGCCCGACAGTTCCGACTCGAAGCCCGGACATGGTGCTATGGAGGTCGAGCAAAAGCCAGTGGGCCTGAGTATCACTGAACGCAAAGAGTAACATGGAGACCGCCGCCACGTGGTCTTTTGATCGCTGATGTGGATCCTGGAAGACTTGGTCAGGGTGGTAACAGGGTGGTAACTTTGGCGTCGGATGCAGGCCTCAATGTTTGCAGCAGTAGCCAGAGAGTAGAAGCATGCCACGCTCAGCTAGTTGGAATGGATCTCGCTCTATTTCCCTGAATGTGTCTTTTGCACATGGTAGCGATCGCATAATGTAGCATCTTATTTTGACAGCTTCACGAAGATTTACAAGCTTGCGGTTGCGTTGACGTGGTTTCCTAGCTTGAGCCCATGAGTTATTTGCTGTTGGTGGTTGTTCCATGTTTGCGCCACACGTCGCAGCCACCCCGAGGACGGCCATCTTCGTCAGTTCCAAATATATCTCCAGGCATAAATGTGAGTTGAGTGAGAAGAACATGGCTGTTATGCTCAGTAACATGACACACATACAATTTGCCCGCGGGCCTCGAATACGGCGCCGCTTTTCTCTACTCTCATCCCAGCGCCACGCCCTTTTAAGCCGATGTCGGCGATTGCCCCGCCTCACACAGTACGATATGACTAAGACGACTTCTGACAGCACGAGCAAGGTTTGAGTCCCTCATTAGGTCACAACCCGCGACAAAACGTCTGTTGACCACACTTCAGATGTCATGACCAGATCTCCCCGTTCAAGCATAGGATCTGACCAAACAAACACTTTTTTTTCTCACAACAACACGCCCCTGAGTTTTCTGAATCTCGTACAGCATGGATCGCTCTAAACCGATGAAGGCTGTTGTTTTCAACGGTCTCAAGAGTGTCTTGGTACAGGAGAAACCTATCCCAGCGAGTAAGACACTCACCTTTGATACGCTCAGAGACGGCCCTGTAAATCAAGCCCGCATTCTGACTCCGAAAACAGTCCAAGATCCGAGAGACATCATTGTCCGTGTACAAGCTGCGGCTGTCTGTGGCTCGTAGGTGGTTCTTCAGCCAACCCAATCTGTCTCCATTGCGGTAGGCACAGATCAGTTAACTCATCACGCAGCGACCTCCATGTGTACCGTGGAATTGAGCCTTGCGCGGCTGGCGTGACCATGGGTCACGAGTTTAGCGGTGAAGTTGTCGAGGTCGGCACTTCGGTCCAGACGGTCTCCATTGGCGATAGGATTGTGTCTCCTTTCACAACCTCGTGGTTCGTGTTTATCTTGATTTCCTTATCGCCGAGACCAGAAACAGTGTTGACAACGGGCATGTAGCATGGCGTGCTACTTTTGCCGCAATGGATACTCGTCGCGCTGCGAAAACAGTCTCTTGTTCGGCTGTGAGAAGCTCGACGGCGCACAAGCCGAGTACGTCCGCGTTCCCTTCGCCGACGGCACGGTTCTCAAGGCCCCCGAGAGCCTCATGACTGATGCTGCCCTTCTCATGGGCGACATCTGGCCGACTGGATTCTTCGGCGCCTCGAATGCCAGGGAAATGCTTGGGCTCGAGAGGTGGGCCGATGCCGTCGTGGTTGTCATTGGGCTAGGCCCCGTCGGCCTGTGCGCCCTCATCACAGCCCTCGAGTACAGTCCCCGCAAGGTCTTTGCCATTGATGGCGTCGAAAGTCGCCTCAAGCTTGCGGCAGATCTTGGCGCAGAAACACTAAACTTCCATGAAGGCACAGCAGCCATGCTGGAGAGAATCCACGAGGTGACTGAGGGTCGTGGTGCTGATGCCATTATTGAAGTCGTCGGTCTCAAGCCGGCGATGCAGACTGCTTTTGACTTGGTTCGTCCGTGGGGTGTCATCAGCAGTGTCGGTGTCCACAGTCAGGAGGTTCGTTCCGCCGTAACATCCTGCGAAGGCTACTCTAACCGCACGTTTAATAGCTTCCGTTCACCGGCGCAGATGGTTACGAGTAAGTCACAGGCAGTACAGGCCTTAGCCAACACCTATGCTGACAATGATCCAGCAAAAACCTGCGTGTACAGATGGGCCGCTGCCCTGTGCGATCCATCTTTTCTGATGCACTTGATTTACTGGAGAAGAAGCAACACCTCCTCGGGTACAGGCGGCAATCACAATTTCCATCGGAAACTTTCGCATGCTGATGAGTTGACAGATTCATGTTCGATAAAATAATCCCCCTTGACGAAGCGCCCGAGGGGTACAAGCTTTTTGACGAGATGAAGGTCCAAAAAGTCATTCTTAAGCCTTGGGAGGGTCGTCAGTAAACCATGACCAGCGCATAATAAACAAATGCCTATCAAAACAAGTCATCTCGATGTGAAACGAACGACAAATGGCTTCGCAATTCACGGCGCGTGCCAGATACCAATGGGAAGATACTTCTTGATTACATGATCCATGGATAGAAACCTAGGCAGATCGGCCAAGCTTTCTCAATCTTGCCACACTCTCTGACACTTGAATTCCGACTAACAAAAGAGACTCCTTTCCACGAAAACAGATAGGACAAATTTCCCAGATTAAAACCAGGCCTTCAGAGGCGAGCTTGGGGGCTCTAGATACGAATCGCAGCAGCTGCACCCCCTCCTCCAAACAGGGCGTCGTTCAAACACTCAATAACAGAGTTCCCGTTGCCTAGACCTGAAGTCAGACAAGTAAGAGTATTTCCGGCGGCGAAAGGGCCGAGAGCTGCAGTACACAGCGGCAGGTTGATGGCCAACTGCACGACGGTATTGTCTTGCAAGTTCTGGCACGGGCCCGGCAGTTCACTGATGCAGGTTGTCTGCAGCGCTCCCTCCAGGCATCCCACGATTGTCGTTCCGAGGCTGTTCTGGCTTATCAGATCAGTACCAAGACAAGTGGCGACATTACCGACGGCAAAGACGCCGAGGGCCGCCGTGCAAAGAGGGATGGCGGCGATAAGGGCGAGTCCGTTCACGTCTCCAAGATCCTGGCACGGCGCGGGCACCTCCGCGCAGACAGGCGTGACGGGTGTCGGCGTTGCCGTGGCGCAGAGGGCAGGGTCGGTGATTGTGACAACGCCAGATCTTATGCCAAAGGCAATTTCGAGACATTCGACAACGCCGACGCCGGTGCTGGAAGAAGTAATGGAGCCTGTCGAGAGACAGCTAGCAGCGCTACCCAGGGCGAAAGGCCCAAGAGCGATGGTGCAACCAGCGATGTTCCCGATCAGCGCCAAGCCGTTGCTGGACGACAAAGATGAACATGCGGATGGAAGCGTCGTGATGCAGCGAGCCTCAAGTGCGGTCAAAACACACTCCGCGATGTCAGTACCGGCGGTGAAGATATTGATGTTGGTTGTCAAGCACGTCAGAATGTTGCCAGCCGCGAAGGGTCCAAGAGTAACTGTGCAAGAGGCCAAAACGGGAATCAGAGCCAGTCCATTGGTGTTGGGTATGTCGGCACAGCTTCCGGGCAGACCAACGCTACAAGTCTCGGTCACAGTGGTTTGAGTTACAACACACTCAGAAATGGTGGAAGACGCGGAAGACTCGACAGTGGTAGATGGAGTAAGGGATGACTCGGCGGGCGCAGAGGAGACAGGCTCTGCGCTTGAGGCTACTGCGGACGAGGCTGGTGCAGAAGAAGCCGGTGCAGAAGAAGCTGGTGCAGAAGAAGCCGGTGCAGAAGAAGCTGGCACAGAAGAAGCTGGTGCGGATGACGCCGGCGCAGAAGAAGCCGGCGCAGAAGATGCCGGCGCAGAAGAAGCCGGCGCAGAAGAAGCTGGTGCGGATGACGCCGGCGCAGAAGAAGCCGGCGCAGAAGAAGCTGGTGCGGATGACGCCGGCGCAGAAGATGCCGGCGCAGAAGAAGCCGGCGCAGAAGAAGCTGGTGCGGATGACGCCGGCGCAGAAGAAGCTGGTGCAGAAGAAGCAGGCTCTGCGCTGGACGCAGGTGCAGAAGAGGCCACAGTCGCGGTTGATCCAGCGGCCGAAGAGGCTGGCTCGGAAGACGCTGGCTCAGCACTCGAAGCCGCTGCTGACGAAGCTGGAGCGGATGAAGCTGGCTCGGAATTAGATGCAGCAGCAGAGGAAGCGGATCCAGCACTTGAAACAGGAGCTGACGATGCCGCCTCTGAAGAAACCGGCGCAGCGCTCGATGCATCAGCAGATGAGGCTGGCTCGGAGGACGCGGGTACGGGGCTTGACACTGCTACAGAAGAGGCGGATTCTGCGCTCGAAGCAGCCCCTGATGAAGCAGCTCCCCCACTTGAAGCGGCAGACGTCTGTGCCCCAGAGGGTTCCTGAGTACCCAAAGTGACGGGTTGCTGGCTAGAAGCAGCTGAGGCACCGTTGGTCTGGCTTGCGGACGATGGCTCGTCGCTCGGTCCAACAGGGGTGAAAATGATCTGAGTACCAATAGTGTCCGTGCCGGTAGGAGCAAGGGTCAGGGTTGAAGGACCGGTGCCAGTCCACGAGCCTCCATCAAGTGTAGTGAAAGGTCCGGTAAACGTTGTTGTTGATTCGGAGGGAACAAAGACGATCACAGTACCCGTCAGGTCGCCAGAAGACGGATCCCTCGTGAAGGCTGTAGGGGCTGTTCCTGTCCAAGAACCTCCCGTGATTGTGGTGAAGGGGCCGGTGAAGGTAGTTTCAGCCGCATCGGAAGGATCAAGCACAATGATAGTGCCAGTGGCGTCGCCTGGTCCTGGTGGAAGGGTAATTGATGTAGGAACCGACCCTGTCCAGCTACCACCCTCAACAGTTGTGAACGGCCCAGTGAAAGTCGTTGTAATATCCGTTGCAGGATTCAAGATAATAACCGTGCCAGTGGGATCGCCTTCGTCAGGGGCCAGCGTGATTGTAGTTGGTACTGCCCCAGTCCAGCTTCCGCCATCGACAGTTGTGAATGGCCCAGTGAAAGTGGTTGGGCTCGTCGGCGCAGGACTCAAGATAATGACAGTGCCAGTGGGATCGCCTTCATCGGGAGCCAGCGTGATGGTGGTAGGCACAGTCCCAGTCCAGGTACCGCCGCCAACAGTTGTGAATGGCCCGGTGAACGTAGCTGCATCTGTCTGTAGAGGGTCAAGAACTATAACCGTTCCTGTGGAGTCACCTGATCCTGGAGGCAGGGTAATAGACGTGGCAACAGTTCCAGTCCAGCTTCCGCCATCAATCGTAGTGAAGGGTCCCGTGAAGACTGGAGCTTCTGTTGCAGTGGGGTTCAGCACAATGACTGTCCCAGTAGCGTCGCCAGGGCCAGGGGGCAGAGTAACAGTTGTTGCACTAGTGCCAGACCCGCTACCTCCTGTTACTGTTGTGAAAGGACCTGTGAAAGTCGTCGCTCCTGTGATCTCAGGCTCAAGGACAATCACGGTTCCAGTAGCATCACCTGGGCCAGGAGCAACAGTGACTGTTGTGGCAGCAGGACCAGTCCAGCTACCTCCAGTCACCGTTGTGAATGGGCCAGTGAAAGTGGTCGCAGTGACCTCGGGATTGAGGACAATCACAGTACCCGTAGCGTCTCCCGGGCCAGGAGGGACGGTAACTGTGGTGGCAGCAGTACCGGTCCAGCTACCTCCAGTCACCGTTGTGAATGGACCAGTAAAGGTAGTAGCATCAGTGACTACTGGATCAAGGATCACTACGTGCCCGTAGTATCCCCCGGCCCAGGGGGCAGTGTAAAGGCTGTGGTGACTGTGCCAGTCCAGCTTCCGCCGGTGACTGTAGTGAACGGCCCAGTAAAGGTATCTGCGTCGGTCACAGTTGGGTTGAGAACAATAATGGTGCCAGTGGAATCCCCAGCACCTGGCGGCCGAGTTATAGTAGTTGGTACTGTGCCAGTCCAACTGCCACCAGTGACCGTGGTGAAGGGTCCGCTGAAGTCGGAATCTAAAGTCGGGTTGAGAACAATGACCGTGCCAGTAGGGTCACCTGCATCAGGCGCAACTGTAATTGTAGTAGGTGCTGTGCCGGTCCATGTACCACCATTTATAGTAGTGAATGGTCCATCGAAGCCAGAATCAGAAGAAGGGTCGAGGATGATCACTGTGCCTGTGGGATCGCCAGGGTTTGGGGCAAGAGTCACGCTTGTGGCAGCTGTGCCAGTCCATATGCCTCCTGTGACGGTGGTAAAGGGACCGGTAAAACCAGGGCCCGGCTTGGTAGGTTCCAGGATCACAACTGTTCCTGTTGTGTCAGGGCCAGCGGGGGGGACGGTCAAGGTCGTAGCAGTTGTGCCCGTCCATGTCCCACCTGTCACGGTGGTGAAGGGTCCGGTGAAAGCAGGATCAGGATTTCTGGCAAGCAAACTGATTAATAACTTATGATGGCGGAGACCACTTGGATTCACTTACAAGGTTGAAGTGTATCGTGCGGTTGTGGTAGCCAGGAATTCGGAAATAATTAGAGTTGGTGCATTGGAAACGTCGATGGTAGTCCCGGCGACGGTCAACACTGTGTTCGAACACACGAGTGTGCTGAGGTAAATGGGAACTTTTTCAACACAGACCACAGGCTGCAGAGTGACTTCGGCGTGAGGGCAAACTGCATTTCGTGGCTCAGGTCGCGCTGCTGCTGGACGTGGAAGCAGGGACAGTCCACTCAGCACTGTAAGCGTGAGTGAGTTGAGCATGGTTTCGAGTTACCTTCACAAACAAACGGCAACAGATGGGACTTGTTGAAATAAGAAGAAGAAAGAAGCGAGTGACTTGATGGCTGCCAATCTAGATTCTCGGAGCAGTGAAGTGCATAGGGCAGTTTATATGTGTAGCCTCTGTTGGTTGTGATCTAAGGATGGGATCACTCATGGTCTCTTGGAGCCTCCCTCGAGTTCCTCGGATGGAATCTCTGGTCTGCGTTGACTCCACCCCTTGACGATGAGGACAACAGACGCATTCGCTCATTGACAGCTTGGCTTTGCCCCTTTCCGGTCAACCCTTGGTCACAGGAGTCCTCGCTATGCATAGTTTGACACTAGTCGAGACGCGCTCCCGTACCACGGTGCCTGAAAGCTGCCCAAGCCACCTACGCTAAGGGCCGAGACTGAGGGGGCACACAGGTGCAGAATGAACGCAATGGCATGCAGACAGCCTGTTCAGACTTGAGTGAAGCTCGTGAAGACACGAAAGCTTCAAGAAATTCACACCACCACGGCTGCTTTTCTAAACACGAATCCGCGTTGGAATTGATTCTGTCACGTCAGTACTGACATGCTATGAGACGAGGGTTGTTCCCCGTCACATGTGATGAAAAATATGACTGTCTCAACTAAGGTTCATCTCCTCGCTTGTCCAAATGGCCTGATTTGATGCTTGCAGTAATATTAACGAACCATACCTTCAGAGCTGAGATATCATTTCCGGAATGCAGTGAAGTTCGTCTAAAAACTGTCTTCCGGAATGAGTTGATGAGGGGAAACACTGCCAAGTCGTGAACCAAAACTCCATAAGCCAGTGCGGCGGGCCTTCTTTGGGATAGACGTGTCAGATGCAGTGGCTGCAAACTGAGTCACAAAGCTGACATTTTCAATTACATAGTGTGACGCCTCATATCAGGTTACCACTGCCGAGACAATTAGGATGTAAGTTCGCAGCTGAAGGGCTGGAGCTTTGATAATAGCACCTGTCGAGTCAGGTGGAGCTGACAGTAAACGGTCTCATGGCCAGCCAAACTAAGGGAATGAAGGGTCGACTTGGACATATCAACAAGATGCATCGGGACGTATTCTGCTTTCAGTACAACTGCTCCAGAATGCGGAAGGTAGTTTCTGGGAAAGCTCCAAGCCTGCAATCACCAATTCAGGTTGCGCGCCATTGTTGAACGTATTTAGAGGCGGCTTGCGGCCTCACAACTGGTAGCATTGACACAACAGTGGCCCCATCGACTAATTCCTTCACCCGGCCGGACATTCGACATTACTTCCACATTCGTTTGATCTCGTTTTCTTCACAATGTTTTTACCACTGCTGTTTCTTCTCCCTGTGCTCTCCTCAGCCTCCCGTCCCGAGGGCCCCATCGACAAGCGCTGTGCGGGAGCTGCGGTTTTGGCCCCCCCCGTTACCTTGACAAGTCTCCGTCCAACGCAAACATGGGCTGCTCAGGACGACAGCAAGCCTGCTTGTCCGGTGACCTACACCACTGTACTCCCTACTCTGGGTGCTGATCCAGAGCCAGGCTCTCCCAGTGGACTACATCCCCACACATACACCGTGACATACGACTGCGATGGCACAAGCTACTCGCCCTGCCGACTTCCTGACTCGAAAGACATCTGTCCCCCTGGTTTTGTCAAGACCGCGACTGTCTGTGACACGTGTGGTTCTTCGCCAGTCACATACACGCTGACACTTCTGGAACCGGGCCCTACGGCTGTGCCTCATGCCACAGACAAGAAAGGGCCGGATTCGACGAACGTGCCTCCGAGCCCTGGCTCGGACCACTCTGCTGATCATCCTGGCGATCATTCCGATGGTGGCGGCGGGGTCAAACCAGTGGTTCCGATACCTCCTCAGCCTGAGTTTGGACCTGACAGCAACTCAACCGACCATATCGAAACTCCGTCCAGTCCAAGTAGCAAGGGGACAGAGGGTGATCGTATTAGCGGCACTAGCAGCACAGAAGCTTCTGGCTCGAAAGCCACCGACCAAGGGTCTGCGGAGCACGTTGAAGTTTCGGCTGGCGCTAGTCTCAAAATGTTCCAGTGGTTGGGCGAGACACTAGCGGTAGGTCTCGTTCTGGCAGCTGTCAACTTTCCCCTCTAAGAAGCAACCCATACGTCCTGAATCGGGATTGCGAAAATGTGGGTCAGTGACCAAGCGTTTCTGTGGAGGGTACTGGACACGCCGCAACAGGCAGCTTTCCCGCGGAGGATGGGCCCAGTCGCAGCAAACCTGCTATTAGAAGCTTAGCGAATCCTACAATCCTGTCCGTTGCCATATGATGCGGCCTTAGTGAAGCCTTTCGAGGTCCCTTGTTTGTGAGCTTCGCCGAGATGACACTGCTCAGGAAGCTCAAAATTCGCTGGCTGTTATTCAGAGCTGACAAACGGAACGCTGTGTTCAGCCATTGGCATGGTGGCGCCGGGATCTATAGTATTGTTCCCCTGTTCAGCTGCAAAGTGGGGGCGCCAAACTTTAGTATTGAGATTAGCTCAGTCCCGAGGCAGCGGTTGTACCTTTTCTCCTCTCCCCCCCCCGGTCTAAGACACGCGGAATCGCCGGCTCATTAGTTCGGCCTGAGCCGGCGCCGCCATGTTGCAAAGACAACCTGACAGCGACGATCTTGAATCGACAACGAAGAAACCACATGCTATTGGATGGCAATGCTACTC